TTTCTGCATGCAATTTGCCTGCGAAGCTCGAGCATAGCTGTCGACTCGATCCGCAGCTTCACCAATTTAACGACCGACCTCTGTCTAGCCCCCTGCAAAGGCTTAGGTGACTTTCCCCAGCTTCCTTGGGAGACGCCCTTTCACCTCAAGGTTCGCATTTGGACCTGCGAGTTCATAGCACTAATGAGTTGCAGCAGGCAGGCTCGAACACCCTTGGTAGCCCTTCATAACCCTGGCGAGACACGAGTCACAAAGATTGACCGCTCGCCTTTGGAGTGCACAACCCACCCTCGTCATGTGGAGATTGAAGTGGGCGCTTCTGCTGCGCTTGCAGCCTCTTTGGTCCCCACGCAGCCGTCTGGAAAGCCAGCGCTGGAGGGCCCGATAGGTCTTGCGTCTCGGAACTAAATCGTCTGAGCTCGAAGCTCGGGTCATCGGATGACTTTCCGTACGTTCGCAGGCCAATTGTTCGGACGTTCCCAGTGGCTGGCAGCAGCACACGGGGGCCTTCGACACGGACGTGGACGCGGTGCCTCCAACTGGAACCGGCACAGCTTCCGACAACTATGTCGTCCATCGGCATCAACACTGAACCATGATTTAGTGGGGACCCCTCTGAGAGGGGACAGAAAATAGAATTTGCCAATAGAAACTGATGGTTGGATAGCATGGCCTATCAGCAAACGCTGGCAAGCCTTAGCAGAGCCGAGCAACCTTAGTTATTAGTTTGGTTTGTCCGTGAGGATTGCAACGCCCTGCACAGGACTTTGAGCATTAGCACGGTTTAGCAGCGCTCTCCAAAGCTTGTAACTTTGGTAGTTCTTGCTTTGATCTGGCCTTCCTTGTCATGAGGGACACTTTACTAATCCGCGCCTGCATTGCGCGAGTGTGCGAGTCGAACCCGTTCGCATGCAGGGGCTGTAGGCTAAAGGCGTAAGGTCTTGGACAAATCTTAGAGTGTTTGCGTTCAGCCTTCTAAGCCATGACGCTCGCCCTCATCAAGCATTTGGGTCACGAAAGTCCGCACCCACGGTGCCACACTTACTCCCACTTGTATGACGCCCATCCCCATCATCGGGTGTCGTGCTGACAAATGACTTCACCATTCGCAGATGAGACATCATGTGCATTGCGTTAGCAAGGATGTGCATTCCCACGGTTACTCCCGATCACAGCCACTTCACCCATCTCGCTTTGCACCGTCCATCAGGCAGGACCTGTTCTTCGCTGTCTTCTCCACAAGACAGTGGTAAAGCCGAAGTAATGCCTTTACCAAGTGTAGCCTCGCGAAACAACCCACCACTTCCCTGAACCCCATGGGCTGCACCATGGCATCCCGGGGCTCATCTGCCGAGCCTTGGCCGCTTCCGCGATGCTTCCCGGAGCGCCTGGCCGAGGCACAGTTTGCAGGGGCTTTGGGCACCAATCATTTTGAGAGCACGCCGTTTCTGTTGCTTGCTTGCTTCTCTTGCGGGACGGGGCTGTGCTTTGGCGGGTGTCCCTCGAGACGGAGCAGCGTAGAAGCAAAGAGGGAAATCTTGTAAGGCCCTGCCTCCAAAGCTGGGAAAGTCACCTACGTCTCCAAGCAATGCCTCGTGGACGCTTGCACCAGGCACGGGCTGCGGCATCGTCGTCTTTGCGCCCATGCGTGCTTCTGACCACGGGCGCCATGAACCCGCCCCACAAGGACGGCACGGTTCCGGACCGATTCCCACAACCACATAACAGGCTAGTTCCAGAGGGTTATATGCTGGCCCCCAATTTCTCAGGATGATAAAACAGCCAGTCATGTCATTTGCGGTTTGTTAAGTCTGAATCCGAGTCACCCAGCTTGACCATCCCGGGAGGGGCATGCACAGCTTCTCCGACAAGCTGCAGAAAGGCTTCAGAGACACTTCGTTCAAATCGGACCCATGACCATACCAACACTACGACGTACATCTTCCCCGACGACATGGCTAAGCTAGGGTGACCCAAGAGTCAACCCCTCCTGATGCCTGCAGAGAAGTTGAAATGGAGATGCTGCAGATGACGACGAGAACAATCATGAAGATGACGCAGATGATGGGACACCGATGGTTTCGTGGTAATGAATGAGTTTTCTTCAAGCTCCAGCGAGTTTTCTTGAAGCTCCAGCAGAGATCTACCTGAATGCAATGATATGCAACTTGATGAAGTTACGGCGGTAGTGAGCGGTGACCGCCGCCATCGCCGTCTAATAGCACCTCTACAGGGAGCACGAGCATTGCTTGTAGCAGCTTGTAGCAGTATTGTAGAAATTGTTTATAGTGACAGACGCACACACGAAGCATCTTCAGGGTTCTCCAGATTTTGCCCGATGGAGCGTGGGCTCGCATCAGATTATGCCATTGACGTACCGGCAATCGGGACGCGTGCTGGTCTAAGCTTACTGCTCTGACATTGACGATGAGGAATCTGGCCAAGCTTTTCTGAGTGGCTGACTGTTACCAAGACCTATATGCAGAGACCACATGCAGATGTTGTTTCAACCTGTGGCAAGGAGAAGGCTACTGCGTGCTTGGCGCATGGATGTCTCCTTCGCATGACGATGCCTGTCTTCACTGGGCTGTTGGGAAACTTGCAGCTGCCTGCTCACAGGGCTATGCCGAACTCAGACAGGCAGCATAGCATGACCTGGCCCAAGAAGCCCGTTTTTGGCAGCCCAGGACTACGTGGGGCCCAAGGCTTTCCGCCTAGGCAGCCTGGCAGCCTCCGTTGCTTTGGACTTGAGCCAATCGATGGTGTCTTTCTGCATCGGAAAGAGTGGGATCCGCCATGTCAAGAACCAAGTTGGCGCAGAGCGTTTGTGCGGACTGCACGACACACATCCGTGTCAGAAAAACGGTTGGCGTGATCAGGAATCGAGAACGTTTGCCAACAAGCCGCAGACCTCACAACTAACACCACGAACCTGCCAGCCCGTCTGATGCCCCCCGCCACCGCCGCCTGACACCCACGCCATCACCAACAACCATCGACCGCCATCAACCATCACAAATCACCACCAACCACCAACCACCAACCACCAACCACCAATAGCACCAACCACCACCCATCACAACCCATGACACCCATCACTAACCGTCAGTAGCCACCACCAACCCCAACTGCCGCCGTCGCCGTCGCCGCCGTCAATCTGGACGCGACGAAATCGGCAAATCGAGAAACACGGACGCAACAGCAACTCACCAAACACCGTGTTCATGACCATCTCATGATCGTGACGGTCATGGCGAGACGTGTAGGCTCCACACAAACCAAAACCCCTCAACTTGCAGCCACGGTTGTCACACTGTGAGAGGCGATCAAGCCTGAAGCCTTGCTGCAGCTAACATCAAAAACTCGGCCGGAAGTGCAGATGCAAGGCACCTTGCACCTGAGCAGCGGACTCCGGTTGCAGCTGGCGCATTTCATGGTCCGTTGCTGGGACCTATGGCCGTGTAGATGTGCGGGAAGGGAAGCCTAGGAGGTTTGGATTTCGATGAGTACCCCGCTTTCGAAGCAAGAAGCTGCATCAAAGGTGAGGACGACTTGGTTGCCGTTGGAAGCTGGGAGGCCAATGTCACGGGGCGATGGCCAGATTTCCCTGAGGCCTGATCCAGATAGTCTCTTCGCAGCTCCCCGACAGTGCTGCTTGTCCCTCTTTCATGCTCAAGTCCTTGCTTTCTGGCTGCTTTGAGTGGGTTGAGAAGTGCTTGCCCGAAGGTGGCCGCGGAGTTGGAGCCTCTCGGCACGAAGGGAGTGCAAGGCTGCGAACCTTTGAGACTTAAGTGAAGCGGATGGCACCCCTCGCTGGCGGCTTCAGCCAAGGAAGCAGATCCAGGGGCGGATTGAGGATCCAGGAAGCTCCTTGGACGAGATCTCAACCTCCAACTACAAGTCACGAAAGCTCGCCATCCGGGGCCAGCGATATACCCAAAGCATACCTTCCATCTACGAGCAGGGCCAACGAATTGAAGTCAATTTTGCAAGGGTTTGGGCATCCGAGGGTTCGGGGTTTAGGATTATCTATGTAAACGGTCCCGGGTTCAGGGTGGGTTTACAGAAAAGGCAACAAGTCTTTCACAGGCTTACTTGCTCTATCGCCGTGGCCAACGAGCAGTCAAGCAGATTTTGTGAAGAGACCGCTGTATGCAAAATATGTTTGGCACCGGATGTGAAACAAACACTGCCGACGTGTATTGGGTGCTCTGAAGAAGAGGGAGGTTGCAGCGATTGTGCATGACAAGGTTCCGGAGTCCGCTTTAATTCCGAACCTGAGAGCCTCGTACACCTCGCCTGAGTCGCTGCTCGCCCTCGCTTTCGTCCCCAAGTGGCGCCCAGCCTAGGGGGCCCAAGGGGCCCTTCTTTGTGCTTCGAGGCCTTGGGTCCATGCCCCGAGTGTTTTACGCCTGCGGCAGCTTGCCTGGAAAGTCTTTCAGCATGCCACAGTTACCATGACCTTCAGGATCTTCAGAGAGAGTATCTCAGAGCGAGGGTTTCCTTCGGAACTCGTTCGGTGAATCGTCTTGGACCTGCTTTGTTGAAGTCCGCTTTCAAGAACTCGAGCTGCACGAGCAGCTTTTAAGGGCTTCTAACGTCAAGCATGGTGCACAGGCTTCTGTGCCCTCGGAGCTTCATTTATGGCTATGTGTCTTTTGACTTTGCCGTGGGCGAGGGAGATTTGGCCTTGGGAGAAAATGCTGCACTTGGAGCTCGATCCACACGAAAATCACTGCTACCGTGTGTTCTTCTGAGCATGTGCCGGGCCCTTCCAGAACTATGGCAGGAACAGACCATGCCAAGCGCTGTGGTCTTTACCAGGCCGGCTGATTGCACGTGACGACCCGCGTTGCCACTTCCCTGACTTTCTGCCACTGACGCTGCAATCTCCTGACAGACCCAGGTCCGACTTTTAGCACGGGCAAACTACACTGAATTACCTTGGCTGAAGGACGGAGTGTCGCGTTACATCAAGCCAATGTGCAAAGTGCTCTCAGGGCTTTGGGCGCTTCGGCGGAGAAGCGGAAAACGTTGGTGTCGTGGTCGTCCCGCGCGAGGGCGAGGCAGTCCATGATGCAACATGAGACACTGTATGAGTTCAGCGGCAGACTTCGCCTGTCAAGAACATCAGGCTCTGGGTCGCAGCAAAAAGTCTTGAAACTGATGGATAGGTCAGACGACCGAGACGTCTACCTCCCAAGATGACTGAAACGTCAGATCTAGCGAGCCGAGAAGGCCTACAGACCTACAGACCTACATGAGCCAGCTAAGCATACGGACGGCCGGAGTAGAGCTGCGCAACAGGTGGCTCAACCGGAGAGCCCGGGCAAGTTCGTTTTCGTGGCCTCTGCGGCTCCCGGTGATGCCGCATGGCTGCGCATCAGGGAGTGGAACCTCACCATGCTGTGCGACCTGTTGACAAGTTTCAGACGCTTTGTAGCGTCTTCTGCCTTCTGCTTAAGCCACATGTTTCAGCTTTGCAAGACGTGCCCGATGCCCTAATCTCGACCACTTCTGCCTACGGACTTGAAGATTTCGTGGCTGATGTTGAAAGCAGCGTGCTGGCACGATTGCCTTGCATTTGCTGCATCATTCATATCCAGCACTTAGTTGAAGCCTTCTGCGACAAGGGTGCTCCACCCTTTTAACTTCTCAATGTAGCCTCCTCTGTAAATGCAGGTTGTCAGAGGCAGAGATGCGGGTAGGGGGCGGATGATTTCGTCGGGATGGGCTCCCAGGTGGCGAGCTTCAGCTCTACGAAAATCCGCCACCGGCCTAAGGGAAAGAGACTCACTGTTCGGGACTTTCGCCAAATTATTGTGTTTGGTTTGGGAGTAAAAATAATGTTGGTAACGGAGTCGCTGATGCAGGTTTTCAGCCCAGGTGTCAGGATACTCAGATGTCTGGTTCCAGTCAGGTGAATCCTTCAAGACAGCCGGGCCAGAAGAGCACCAATACCTCTGCCATGCCATTTGTGAGGCGGGTCGATTCCACCTGTTGTAAGACAGTTAGCCGTGTGGACTTTCGGCTGTCCGTTTGTGGTGCAAGCGGCTGCGGGCCTTGAGTTGCAAGGGCTCTCACAGTTTCTATATGTAGAGCAACCACTTTGCCATTGCGTTGATGCGAAGGCTGCCGAAAGATCTGTGCCTGCCCGCGTAAGAGCCTGCCAGAACCTGAAGTCCTGAAGTCGGCTTGCCATTGAATGCTCCCCCATGCTTCTGCACAGCAGCTGTTTTGGCGTCGGCCCATCAAAACCGCGTTGCTGTTTCTGAACTGAGCAAAAAAAGACCCAGAGCCGCGGGTAGTTTATTTCGGTGCAGGAAGCGGCCGACTTCATCCTGCGCCCCAGCGCCGAGCAGCCGCTTGGCCGCATTCGAGCCGCGAGCGAGTTCGGATGCAGGATTCCAGGACAGGGGCTTGAGGGAAAAAACCAAACCGAAGCGACCCTTACGTACTTAGTCCAGTCGGGGCACATCAAGTCTAAGCTTGCCAGTCATCTACATACCAGCCCAGGCGGGCAGCGTACAAAGAGGATTTCAAGAAGCTGGAACAACAGCTGATCGCCTCCGATGCATAGTGTCTCAATGTCCTCCTGGCTTCGTCATGTGATCCATTACAGGCCAAGGGATGCCACGGGCTGTACTTGCAACGTGGTCAGGCCTCTTCCTTGATCCATCCAGGTTAGGCGGAATGCTTGATTATTACCAAGGGGCGGGTTGCTTGGCTGCAGATTTCGCATCCACGCTTGAAGTCCAAGCGGCTTGAACGCCTGTCGTCTGTGCGACCTGGTCAGTTTCACTCGTTGCTCCGAAGAAATGCGGGTTCGGCGAGAAAAGGGTCCTTTAACTGGGTCCAGCTGGCGCTTGAGCGCATGGAACAGGCAATGTCCCTAATAGGATTGTCTGGCCGCCCGCTTGCATCGATTGTTTCAAGCCTTCCAGTAAAGGATCCATATTCACGGGATCGGAGGAAAGAGCAGGGCCCACTGGTGGGGTACACGACGGTCGATGTAGACAAGGCCGAATCTTTTTTCTACCGTGAAGGAACAAGTAGCAGTATGCAATGCTAGCATTTCCAGAAATGTACCTCCTCATCCTAGCAGGCTCAAGGCAGTGGTTTTCGGAACTCCAAAGCCTATGGCACGTGATGGCTTTCCCTGCATTCATGGAGCATGGATGATGCAGGCAGCCTGGGCGTCGGAGGTTTTATGATTGTTGTCACGACCAGACTCTGGCTGCAATTCGCCCATGCCTTTCCTGGAGCTCTTGCTGAATGAGCAGCGGAGGGCAGTCCAGCAAACCTGTTGGCGTAGCACGCTTATTCGAGTTTTCAGCATCACATACAAAGGTAGAAACATAGGTGGTCAGCGGCCTTGACCTTTCGAGGTAAAGTCGAGGCTATCTAAAAAGACGCATAGAACATGTCTCACGTTGACGTCCCTCGCAGCACAACGGTAAATGGAGAGGAGGGCAAGACTTGTAGTAGATCCCGAACATTCAATGGCAACAGAGTAATCAAACGAAGTACAGGTACGAAAACTATGCGCCTGGAGATGCACTGTAGGCAGCTTGTGAGAAAGACGGCGTCGCCAAAATCGCGAGCCACTTCTGAACCATGTCACAGGCCCTGAGCTCCAACGCAGTCTTGCAGCTTCGCGCTACTCCGAGGCCGGGGCTCAACGTGGATGGGGCAGGATTGTGATTGTATCTACGACTAAGTGACAAGTATATCACTATATCCCATGATTCACGACGTTCTTTGCGCACTTCCATACCCTTGTATGTTGCAGTCGTTCTCCGACGAGATGGGCCTGGGAGGTTTAGGAGCTGTAGGCGAGCCTGGTTTCGGTGCAAGGTCACATGCCGCCATGCATGGAAATGGCAGAACAGTCCTTGCCTAGCAGGATGCCATCCCGCTTGGGCACGCCAGCGTGCACGGGCCTTGGCCCGTGGGAACGCTCTTCGTAAGATGGCTTTCATTCACATTCATGGGCCTAGAAGAGTGGACGGACTTTGAAGGGTTGACCCCTCTGAACATTCGAGGTTATCCTTGAAAGCGGATCTGCACGTAATGAAGATTCTTGTTTGACACAGCGAAGCCTGGAGTCCTGCTGATTTCCTTTGCAACTTTTATGGTCAAGCAAGGACACGATGACATGGAATCAGGGATCCTGCTCTGGGTACAGAGAATTTGAAAGTGGAAGAGCTTCCTCGAGGTGGGGATCCTGGTTCTGCACAAAGACGCAGTCCTGGGGCTTTGCCTGCTGTCAGCGGCCCGGATCTAGGGCCTTCGACGGGGCAAGATCATTGGGGAATCTTCGTGGCTTCAGATCGGTTCCATCCAGCATCGTAACATCGTCGTCTCGCATTGACCCTCTTTGCACATCGGCGCCCACATGCGGGGCTTGGAAATTGAGATTTCAGGGAGTTCATGGTGACATGGCATGGTGAATCACCAGTCGATGCGCGTAATGCTCGGGCATTGTGCTTGGGCATTTGTCTGTGAGAGTTGGTTCCATACTACGCTTTGTTGTTGCTTTTTTGTTGTTGTGGTTGCGGTTGCGGTTGTGGTTGGGGTTGTGGTTTCCGTCCGTGTGTGCGCCGCAGTACTTGTGTGCAAAGTTGTATTTTCGGAGTTCAGGCAGAGGCACGGTCTTTACAAGGGTCTCACTTGCTGAGCTCGGCAGCAAGGCAAACCCCTGATACCTTTGTTCTTTGGCTTCATTCGTTATGTAGCTGGACCCGCAGCCTCCGCAACGGGACCTGATATACACTATAAGCAACTAATCGAATTAATAGGATCACCTTCGCTGCGAATTGCCTGTGTAGCTGACTCAGCTCAGGCCGTTTCTGTGGGTTTCTTGCTCGCTCGCACACACTCCATCGACTAGCTCCTGGTTGCACAGGTAGGGAGTAACTATATGCTTTCGCTTGACTTCAATGTAACTTTTTCAGAGGTATTTTCCTGGGGTTCGTCTCTAATCCCAAAGCTGCAAAATCCACGTTGCTTGAGGCCACGCCACGGACCGCGAGGCCCGCTTCCGAAGTTTCTGGCTGTGTGTGTTTTGGTGTCAGCTCTCTTCCGTGTGCATAATGAGCAGCAAGCCATTTCTGCAGCATCCAAAGCGCCAGGCGAAACCCTGCAAACCGGAGGCTCTTCTTGCGACGTCGGAGTCGGCTCCCCATCTGCTTCGGGTGGAGGCCGCCTGCGTGACGGTCGCAGCTATGAACAACGGGCAGTTTTTGTGCGCCTCGCCTATGTCCCGGGATGCCAACAACTCCAAGAATGCATTAGCCGCACCCACGAAGAAGTCCTGAACGCTTGCGTGAAATAACTTCTGACCTTCGTTTGAGAAGTGCAAGAATGCTGGACGTGCAACCGGGTCCCGTGGTCGACATTCAGACCTTGATTCGATTCAAAATATAATTCTTGAAGAGACCTTTTCGCCGCTGAAGGCCAGAAGACATGGTGTCAACTCCAAGACGAGAAGCCGAGGTTCAGTTCTTGGGACTTTGGAGATTCCTGGCGTTTATCGGCTTTTGAAAGCACGCGATTGCAAGCGACCTGGTGCTTGATAGCTCCTGAGTTCCAACTCACGTCCTAACCATCTCAGCCAGGATCATTAGCATCATCTTCAGGCCTGGAAGCAGTCGTAGACGTAGTGGCACCACCACCACTGACTTTCGAATCATGGCCACCGCAAGTAGAGAATCGTGTTCTCTTGTTTAAGAAGGTGAGCTTGTGAACGTCGAATTCATAGGTACCATTAGGTAAACATGAGACGAGTCAGGCAGTTCTATCTCCCTGAAGGCCATAGCGATACACCGATACCTGTAATACTGTAACCCCTTCGGCATGACTCCTCCCAGGCCTCCTCGGAAGCCTCGGAGTGGCTACCGAGGCCTTGCACAAGATCTCTTGTAAGGCTGCAAGAAATGTGCTGAGGCTCCGCAGGTTTTGGTTCTCAGGCACTACGGCACTAAGCTCCGAGAAGTGTGGCCTCGAGCCTTCCGCGCAGAGGAGTTCTTTCGAGACCTCCGTAGGCTTCCTGGCCGGTGACTCAGCTCGGCTTGTCTCTCGGTTCTTTTCCACGAGTGATTTGTTCCGGTGTGTTATGCACAGGCTGTTTTTAAGGTTCGCTCGGCAGTTGCCCTTCCGCATCACATGCGGAGCTGCGGAAGGGGACCTCCTGTCCACACCAAAAGCCTAACATCCCGAGATCGACTTGCTCATGTTGCTAGTCGGATTTGCCGAGACCCATTCGATGCAGTACTTCCTTCGATGCTCGGGCACCCGGCCGTTGAGATAGGTCAGATTGACACTTGAGACCGTGTCCCTGAACCTCAGGGTTGTGGGGCTGGGGGTTTTGAGGTTCTAGGCCCGCAGATTATCAGCTCGGGAAGGACGCATAGCATGTCCTCGGAGTTCGTAGGGCTTCATCGCTTCCCTGCTGATGATTATGAAGTCTTTGCAAAGCCGTGGTGGCCAGCTTCCGACTACAGTAGAATAAGCCCAAAGGTTGGAAGCCCAATATCCTTAAGAGTAATGTATAGGGAATCCCAGCACTAATTGTCTCTAATCCGGTTTCCAACTTTTTGGGGTTTACTTTAAACAGAGCGAGCAACCAGTGGAGTGAGGATGTATTGCTGACAGTCGGCCCTTCACCCAGGCAGCCGGCAGATTCCAGTCCTAATCACGCGGCCCTGAAAGAAGCGAATTTGTAGATTCTACAACGAGCCGAGAGTCAAAAGGAAATGGGCCTCCTTGACCCATCCGGAAGCTAAGACGAGCTCCGAAGGCTGGCGAAGTGGCCTTCAGGATCCAACAACGGCGAGAAGGCTCCAGGCAGCCCTGACCCTTGGACGCCTCGCTCGCTCTCTCTCTCTCTCTCTCTCTCTCTCTCTCTCTCTCTCGCGCTCTCGCTCGCTCTCGCTTTCCCCCTCTCTCTCTCCCTCCCTCACTCCCTCCCCCTCCCTCCCTCCGCTTGGCCCGTCGAGAGAGAGAGACAGAGATTGAGTGTGTGTGTGTGTGGATAGATGTTGTCTGTAAAAGATACATTTGTTCATAGTGTGTCCAAATCTGGACGCTTGAACAACAAGATGTGGAGAATTTGCTTCGGTGCAACGAGTGGCCAGAGGTGACTGGATCGAGACTGCAATTCGGTGATCGGGAGTTAGAGCGGGTGTTTAGCTTTTCAACATTCACGAAAGAACGTGCCCATCATATGTACGTACATAATATGAGCGTGTGTGCAGGCACGTCCGTGTCATGGATACGTACAGTACCGCCTCTCGCGGGAGCTTCTTTGCTTGACTCGCTCAACAGGGCCTCGGCAGTGGGGGCTCCAACTTAACGCCGCAGACTTAGATTTGCTCTAGATCTGTGGGCTTCGAGGTTCAAGGGTGGTCTGCAAGAGGGCGTGTATGCAATAAGCTGGCAGTTCAGTCTCTGTTTGGATGCAGAATGAAGTCTGGCCTCATCGGCAGCTTTTTCGACCGTTCCGGTCACAGGAGTCGAAATGCAGGGGCCGGAATCCACCATGCTCTCAGTGGCTCCTTGGGGACTTTAGGCCAGGCATCAGGCATAAGGACAGTGGTTCCGGTGCCAAGGACTTGCCCTAAAGCCATAGGTTTTGCCGAGGACAAGACAATGCTGGTAAGCTTGGGTCTTGCGTTGCCTTGCTTCATTGCTAGGTAACTACAGGCTGAAGGTTTCCGTGCGTAGCAAAACGACTTCGTTTCCTGTGAGGTCGGAAAGGTCTGTCGATGAGGCAGGACCAGGAATGCAAACTTGCCCTTGCCTATGTTTGACACGTGCGTGCAAACCTGAATACCTTCAGCCTTCGCTGGTTTCGGAAAAGTGGCTGCACGTGCATGACAATTTCTTTGCAGCCGGATACGCCCCGTTTGAGCATTCAGCTGGGCATGAAGGCCATTTTGCTCCAGAGGGCGGGGAGATGGTGTGATCCGTTTTTGCACTGCAGGCAGGGCGTGCTGTGGAGGATATGTGCCGCAAGCTGGGTGGGAATCCCAGACTCGGTGGGACCCACGCTCTGGCCGTTACCGCCTGTAGACAAGCAGCCCAGGCGAGCCCGCAAAGCGGAAGCCTGATTGACAGCTGTAGAAGGGCTATCGTGCGATGCAGGTGCCCAGCGGCTGTCGGTTGATCTCCTTCACAAGCTTGAGGCCTGCTTGCAGTCTGTCGACTCTGCGGACATGGACTGGGCACATGTGAGCCATAGTGCCATCGGGTGGCAGTTTCGCAGCTTTGCGTGCCCGGTGAACAACGCAGGAGATGGTCGTCAGCATTGGTGACCGTGAGTATGCCCATGCCAACAAGGCCAGCGGCCCGGGTTCGGGCCATTGCGAGCGGGGCCTGAAGGATGCTAAGTTCAAGGGAAATTGCGTTCTGTGATTCAGCTAAGTGGATCGCAGATCTACATGGACTTGGTCATTGGGACGAAGAAGTGGCTGAACGACATGCCCTACATGGCCAGCGCCTGATGTTTACGTGCTGCATTCCGCTACCACCAGGACTTACAACCGGCCACAAGCCGAAAGCTTTAGTAGTGAGAGACCCGGTGGCCTTGGCCTTCGAGTGGTGCGGCATCCGATTTGGGCTTGTTGCCGAACCTGTAGCTTCGTGCAATTTGCTGTTGCTGCTGCCGTCAATGCTATCCCATCTGCTGTCATACCGGCAAAAAGCCCACTTTCGCTGGGGGAGGATGGTTGATTTGGCACATTCTTCAGGTGAACTTCTCCATGTCCCGCCAAGACACCGAGGCGTTGGGCGGGAACTGTTGTTTGCAGCAGATGCTCAAATGACGCACTTACCACCACAGCGACATCATAGAGGGACTTGAATCTGACAGTTGACGAGTTCTGCTTTAATCCCTGGGGTGCTGGAACGGACCCCTATAAGCCCTAGTCTGTGAGCGATCTCCTCTCCACACTCTTCAAAATCTGAATGTGATTACCTGCCGTATTCTCCGCAGTTGGCGAGCGCTGACTTCGGAACCTCCCTGAACTGACATGCCAGGTGCACTGGACTCCGGAGTCAGGCCTTCCAGTTGGCGCTGGGTTTTGGAGTTGCAGTGAAGAGGCATCTGGTCAGCCCTGGGCACATGCTTCCTCGTGACAACGGCGGACGATTTCGTTATTGGATGTCCCTGTATGTCCCTGTGTGCGAGATCTATTGTAAAACCCAAGTGCCAGCTTGCGAGGGTCGCATCCCGTTGACGAAGCTGGTTTGCGCAGTCACGTGGTCCGGCTCCTGGTCTTCCTGAGAGATGTAGAGCGAGTTGCCCCCTGTCTGGCCCAGGTCGTCCTGCGCCGCATCATGATGGTGTTGCAGGCGCACAGCAACGACTCCTGGTTCACGGCCGATGCGCACTAACAGAAACGCAGCAGCCGTTCTGGTGAGGAGAAACGTGGCCAGCTTGAAGCGCCTTGTCACATACCCTCACGCCCTCTCCGGCATTGCATCCTGGACTTTTGCTACAGTGTGCCCGCAGAGCACCATGCGCTCACTCCCGACAGACACGTGTGCCCGTGGAGGCTCTGAGCCCCAACACCGATCCGTCCAAGAACTGCGGCTAAGGGCCATGAGGCTCGGCTCAGTTTTGGACTTTCCGGGCGAATAAGGACTTTCGTGCAATGGTTTTCCTACCCACCCGCAACGGTCGGAACATTGCAGGATGTCGAGTTGCGGAATGGTTAGTGCAGGGCACTCTGCCAACAGAGACAAGGTTCAAAAGGTGCAGAGGAATGGGCATCGAAAGGCCAATCTAGCAACTGCCGTCTGCAGGCTCTAAGATTGAAACCTTGTTGAAGTGCTTTCCGTTCATGTGAACCTCTCGATCTCGTGACGCTCGTAAAGGCTCCAGAGAACATTTGCTGCTGCCACCTCCTACTACTACTACTACCACTACTGCCACTACGACGACGACGACGACTATACGACTACAAGTACGGTTTTACAGATTTGGGGTTCTATCTGGGGGTTCGGGTTGAAGGGCCTGGGTTGCAGAAGGAGACATGAATCCAAAGCTAGCAGCGCAAACATCTAGGATCAGATGAAACCCGCTTGCCAGACGTATGGAGGAGATCGAATCATTCGCCAGCCATAACCAGCAGATACAAGGAAAGAAGCTGGAGAAACTCGAAGCACGGTCCTTGCGAACAACATAAGCAAACAACATTTAAGAGAAACTCTCCTGCCGAGCCTTGAGATCTTCAACATCGGACGCCTTTCACATCAACTGGACCCGAAAACAGAACCAATCATCGTAAGAGGGTGCGGAACGCAGCAGGATCCAAGGAGGCTGCAAAAGATCCACGGCAGGAAGTGGCATGCTGGCCATCATCCCCGGACTGAGACAATGACAATGAGTAAATATGACAACGAATGAATGAATGAGCGAATGAATGAATGAACGAACGGATGCATGCATGCATGAATGAATGGATAAATGCATCCATAAATGCATGAATGAATGGAATGGAATGGAATGGAATGAAATGACATGAATGAATGAATGAATGAATGAATGAATGAATGAATGCGAGTGTGTGAGTCGAAATACCAAACACCCCCTAGTCGATCGGTTTCCCCCTTCATCTACTGAGGCCACAGCTCTCGGCTATACTGGGCGTCGCCTCCTCCTCAACCCGTCGTTACCAGATTTGGGTTTTTGGGATCGGAGCAAACAAGCAATCCGGTCCTTGGGGTTTTTGGGATCGGAGCAAACAAGCAATCCGGTCCGCAGAGCGAAGGTAGTCGAACTGTGACAGAGGTTGAGGGGATTGAATGCAAACATAGCGTTGGCAAGAATTAGTTGGTGGCTAGCTAGCTAGTCTATATTCATGTGCATGTGACTACTAAGCCACCTCTTCCAACGTTCTAGGCTCTGAACGGTTCAGATACAGGATGAAAGGGCAGATGGCTAGCACGCGACTTTTGCATCTGGATCTCCGTGAGTGCTCTGTCCAAACTCGGTAGGCAGAGGCTACAGCACCGGTGCACCGGTGGCCTCCATGCCGGTCGTGGCTCGAGCAGCCTGACATGCGGGCTTGCTGCTTGTGCAGCTGTGTCTCTTTTCACAAAGCATGACTCACCCCCGTAGTGGACAAGTAGCATCGTGGAAGGTTACCTTCAAGCGTGCGCATGCCATAGTATTATCTTATTAACACTTGAACGGATATAGAACATCAGTGCGTGTGAGCAGTGGTTTCCTACAGCTATAACCTAGGGCTCGAGACTTGCAAAGTCTTTTGGCATGTTGATGGTTTCAGTGTTTGTGGCCCTCAAAGGATGTCGACCAGGAGACTTAAGCTCTTCCGTAGGACTGTGCATGGGTGCCGAGTGCAGCAATCCTACATGTGGCCGGCCGGAGCCGGGCCGATGTCCGGAGTCCAGCGTCCAAGCTCAGAGTTGCCACACTCCTCTTCCTCCTGAATGGAGTGGGGACTGTGCCGAAAACCGGTGCGGAACCTTGGGCATTGCAAGAAAACTCAGAATTTCATAGTGCAATAGTCATGTGTGCTGGCATTCACCAGGTCCATTGCTTCAAAAATATAGTGCGGGCGGATGTTGAAGCTGCTTTGTTCAGTGCCGCATGCTGGGCATCCTGCCACGAGCTTCGTCGCGAAACCGCGAGCACAAAGCCCCGAACCCATTGCTATCTGGTGGCACGTGGTGAAGCCCCAAACTAGAGTGCTGAGCTGGTGTTTACACGAAGGAGAGTATGAATTCGACACCAGCCTTTTCTTCGATGACCATATCTCGCCGCCTGACGAGCTTCTCCATCCGGCATTTGCCGCTTGTCGGGTGGGGTTTGCCGAGAAGTCTAGAGTCGAAATTTGCGAGAGTGTACCTTACACGCCGGAGCAATTTGCACAGTCAATTTCTCCAGTCCCCGCAGCACGTCTAAGCACTTCGACCCTGGTCTCTTGAAGGATACCCAAGTCCGCGAGCCTAGTCCTATGTTGGATCTGCAGGAGTGGCGACAGTCGTTCAAAAGACCTAAGGAAACGATGCAAGGAAACTGGTATCGCAAAGAGCCGCGGCCTGTTTGGCTGTTTGGTTGGGCATCGGACCAAAATGTGTGGCTTTAAAGTCTGCAACTGAGGCTTACGATTGTCGTGCGCTGTGTCTGCGGGTTCACGGGGTAAGGTGCAGGAGTTGACGTGCTTGGGATGTGGGGCTTCATACACGCACGGAGTTCACGGGCTCCATGTTGACCTGGGCGATTGGACAAGGACTCGGCTGATTTGTAAGGTGGGCAGATCGAGGGATGTTCCAGGAGAATCCCACGAACCACCCCACTCCTGTGAGTGTACGGCCTGGTAGTGCAATTTCTCGTGCCAAGTAGTTGAGGGGTCCTCCCATGTCCAGCAATGATCAAGGGCCCGCGCGAGAAATTCTTTGCCGTACATCTCGGGTTCAATCTACCCGTCTGATTTTGTAAGGTTCAGAACCGAGAACGTAGAAAGGCTGGGAGCTTGAGCCGACTCGACCTCACCCACTTTACAGCAAGAGTCGCTAAGGACGACAACCTGCACGTGGGCGAAGTGGTTGGGCACCACATCGTGTGGCATATCAACTGGAGCTTCGGCGGAGCTTTTGACTGTAAACCCGAAGCCTAAATTCAACACACAAACGGAGAAGTGCTCCAAACCCCGCGCCCCAGACCGCGACGCCAGCTTAGATGCCTCACCCGCCAAGTTGAGCGAGCATGAACCTTGAGTCACGAAGCTGCGGGGTCGTTGGTTGTGGTTGCCGTTACCGTCTGAGCTTATTCGTTGTAGCTTGGATGTTTGCCTTTTTTTATCTAGCCCTGCCTCGAAGTGCATACCTACAGGTTGAAGGTTGAAGCCCGGAGTGCCAAGTTGAACTTATAGACCGGTTGTCGCGGAGCCAGCATCCTGGCGAGACCAAACTACCGCATCCAAAGCCCGAAGATTCCACACCCTCGAGCAAGCCCACTGCTTGAGAACTCTCCCGGCGAGGAAGATGCCCTCGTATATCACGGAGCTGGAGATCGTATCGCCGCGAATGAAGGAATCAAAAGTGCCAGGCAGGTCGAGCTTTGGGCTTGAGGTTGTGGCTACAGTCCTTCAGGTATGTTCGGCGCCTGGGATCAAGCATCAGCAGTGCAGGCTGTGGGGTATCCAGAAACTAGGACGTGGAGGCAAGAGCCGGTGTTTTTGGATCTTCGCACGGTTGCCAATGTCATCGAGAATACCTATGTCATCCTATGTCACCACTACTGCCACCATTACCACCAACACCACCACCAGTGCCCCCGCCGCGGGCGCCGCCGCCACTGCCACCACCCCCACTACAACGCCACCGCCAGTATGAGGTACCAGTGTATTGCTTCGTGCAGCATGTATTTTCTATACATGCTGTCGGCTTGTTTTGTGTGTGGGTGCGTTTGCTGCCAGGTTCTACTATGATTCAGATTCAGGTGAACAACTTCATCACCGTCGGGGAGGCAAGCTGCAAACACAATTGCGGGGTTTGCGTCTTTCAAGATCATTTTCTTTTCTTTCGTCCCTTCCGGGTCCAGCTTCAGGCATTCATGCATGCAAGGATCCAGAACACCGGTCTGTCCTTGATGGACGACTTGATGCATAATTAGACAACGGCCTGCGTCAGCATCTTGGTCAGAGTTTCTTTCGCCACATTGTTTCAGAGCATGGCTCCGCACGCATGACTAGCCTTACTTTGACATACTCATGCCAGCTTTTGGTTAAACGCTTTTTCGCCTTCCAATCTTTCTGGCAGCTGCCAGGTCACCCATAAGGTTCGGCACATGGCTAGGTCAGAGACATCTTACAACAGCTGAGAATCTGCGGGTGCAAAGGAAACCAAGGTTCAACGTCTGTGCTGGAGCTCTTCTCACTGCATCCTTTCAGGTCCGAAATGGCCCGCAGACGGCGATCTTCTGGCAGGACGGCGATGTCTGGCTGAAGAAGTGAGGCGCTGTTGAAGCCTTCCCGGCGCTTGGAGTTGGTGTACTTGGGCCCTCATCCTTGCGGCTCCTGTCATTCTGATACAGACGGCTTCGATCGACTTTCGCCAACCCCATGCGCGCATGAGATGTTTCGAAACTGCCGCTACTGCAGATTCAATGCTTGCCTGGCTGTGTTCTAGTCAGTGTTTCTCAGGCCCTGACCTCTGCTGACAAAGGTTGGCGAGACCGCTTTCCCCATCAAGTGATGGGCCTGTGCCAAGAAGCTTGTGACAAAAATGGCATCCGTGCGTTGCAGCAGTTGTCATGCCTCTGTCGAGTTGCAGCCAGTCCCACAGACCTTTGGCAACGGAGCGGCTTCGATTGCAGCCTTTCTCCACGACTTGCAACTAGATGCATATTGAGGCCATTTGCCTCGAGGAGCTCTCCAACTTTCGTTGCAGTGAGGGTACAGAGAGTGAGACCGTTTGTACAGCGACTGTGTAGTCATCATTTGGCTCGGCGAGAGACAGAGAGAAAGATGCATAGATAACGAAATATGGGGATGAGTTGGGCTGTATAGTATGTCCATACATGTGTGCATAGCATACAAATGCAAATATACGTGCACATGTATATGCTATGCATATGCACACACACATACATACATACATACATACATACGTACATATACATGTACATATACATATTACATATACATATACATATCCATATGCATGTGCATGTACATATACATATACATATACATATACATATACATGCATACATACATACATACATACATACATACATACATACATACATATGTGTGTATATATATATATATGTGTGTGTGTGTCTGGAGAGAAATAGGGGACAGAGAGCGGGGGCTATTTTCGTGCAAGGTATTAAGTGTCTATCGCCGCAGCGAGCGACACCGAAGCTCGTACCACGCTAGTTTTGGTGGATGGCGGCTAGGCTTGCGTTCACGGCACCTCGTGACCGCTGCCATGGACAGCGAGTCAAGCAACACTCTTGCCAGGGTCACCGGTGCGGCAACGATGTGAGATTTGCGTGCTATGGCTTCTCTGGACAGCGGAAATCTGAGATGACCTTGATGACCGCCTCTCGTGTTAGGTGGCTCTAAGTTATGCATATAGCGTTTTTGTAGAGCGCCGTCGAACGATGGCCACGGATTGCGAGCGGCCGCCTGACTGGGCACTCGCCTTACTCAAAGAGTTCAGAGAGCAAACAGCACCACAGGCATTGGAGGCGATCACGCGTGTATGTACAGGTTTCCCACGTTCATGCAACACATTCATGAACAGGCCGCCGCCAGTTGCTTGGACAACTTGCGCCAGTATCGAGACATCACCAACCGAGAGGCCTGTTGTGGCTTGCCGTTTGAACTCAGCAGTTAACGCATGTGGTGAGCTATGTTCTGAGGTACGCGCATGTATGGTGGTATCTAGATTTCTGCAACCAAGGGATCTGAGCTGATTTGTGGTGCCAGCACCCGGGCAGCTGGGTCAGGTGGAGCGGGTTCGGCGAAATCTGAACGGGCTGTCGGACGATGACAAAGCTTCACTCATCAGGCGCAGCAGGATGTCTGTAATTTCGGGGGTTAAGGGCTATTCGAGCCGAGTTGTTCGTAGTGCTGCGCCAAGCTTTTGTGAGATGTTGCGATTTATTAGCTTTTGTAGCGGTGCCGCGACTCCAGCAGGAGAAGGGCATGCTGATGCTTCAATATGACTTTCAGCCCGAACAGCCGAAAGCAACAGCCAGCACCCAAACGGAACATAGCAGCAACCTTTCGACGAAGGCAAGTTTTGATTTTGGTTTGGAAATACGTATTGTCAGGACATGCTAGCTGTGAAGTATCCTCGCTACACTTCTCGCTCTAACCTCTTCCACATTTCAGTTCTTGCAGACCGCCGTCCTCACCTGGTGACCGCGCCCACCTTGCCAGGAGGCCAGAGGAACAGGTGAAAGCGATGGAAGAGGCACCGAAAGCGCATTGTAACAAACTCCATCATGCCAAGGCACATGACTGTTGATCTTCTGACTGGGGCCTGATGCCGATGCCGGACATGCCATAAATTAGCTTAGGATGTCGACTGCAGGTAGATGCAGATGTTTCAGTTCAAGCACTCATGTACGTCGAGCCTCACACCTCGTTGATCCCCGGTCTGCCACATTCTCCGAACCGAAGCCTCAAACCCCCAGATCCTCAAACGCCCTCTCGCTGCCATGATGCTGTGGCGGCTGCTGGGTCGGCAATGGACGAAGTGGGACCGGATTATTCCAAATCAGGCTGCTACGAGTGGTCAGCGTCTCAGTCAGTGGGTCTGGGATGGTCTGGGGTCCTCTTTGCCTTCAAAAAGGCCCTACCCGGAATGGAATCACTGAGTCCCAACCGGCACTGCCGAGTTGGGTCAGCACTCCCTAGCGGCCCTAGCGCAACTGATCGGAACGAGATCCTTTGGTGCTTAGGCTTCTGCCGTTTGCAGACCTCCAGCCAGTTTTTGAGAAATTGGAGCTCGAGAGCCTTGGCGAACCTTTCAGGTCATTTTAATTCACGATCCGCGAACACACAGCATGGCATCCACTCTAATAGACTGAACTATCTCTGACAACGAAGCTGGGCCTGGGAGTTTTGAGGCGAGGCTTGGAGAGCTCAGTTGTCGTGGTCGGCTGCGGCACGCGCGGGAGCTCAGAACTTCGATCGGATGTGGTCGGGGGCACAATGGAAGAATCACGAGTCTCGGCTTTGTGACAGGTCGGACCTCTCCAAAGACCTCCATCTCGCACTGGGCTTCCACCAAGCCTGAATCTCAAAGAGCAGGTGAGTGATTGAAGTGATTGGGTGGTTGTTCTGTCGGGGTTTGGGAGGCGAACGTGTGGAGAGAAGCAGAACAGTAGAGACTGAGACTTGCAGACTGTCGATCGATCTTGTGGGTGGGCTGTGCTCGGCTGTCGGCGGAGCATTCTGTCTTCCTGCGCGGACTTTGAGGAGGGGGGTCTTTTCATACTAAGGTGCTGTCGATAGACAATGACGAGGCGGTCATCCGTCACATGAAGGCCAAACACGAGAGCCTCGAGCTCATCGAACCACTGAAAAGACTCATGACAGGGTGACTTGCGCCTCGTTTGTCAAAACATACACCATGGAGCCCATGGCAGACAACTACAGCGTCACAGTCTTATTGAGCCCAATCTATGTACCTACGACCCACATGGAGGCTATCGCAATAGTGTGGGAAAGTCTTCCAGGGTTTCGTACTCCCTTTGAACAAGACAATGGCAGATGCGAAACCGGCAATGTCAGATGCCTGCTCATGCTGGAATCCGTTTGTGTTATTCTGCTGTACATGCGAAAACCCTTTCGCCTTGAACTTGTCAGGTTCTGTGCTTTGTTGACATTGATGTTGCAGGGGGCAGAGAGGGTCTCATTTCACGGCCTCTGCCAACGAAGCTCCGTGATCTGAGACAGGTAAACGTACCTGCAGTCGTCAGCATGGGCACCCAGTCGCGGTGCCTACCTGGAACGCCCTATACATTCCAATTCCGATCTGTCTGCCGCCGCATGCCTATGCATGTCACACACCCACGAGTCGAGGTCCGAGTCTTCAAGATCCCTAAACTAAGCAGTTGAACATGCGCAATATGCAGGCACGGCACCGCGACCTCAAGGGCCTCACGTTTGTTTTGGAGGACCTCACCGTTTACAGCGAGGTGGTCGATCGGGTTGAGCTTCACCGAGGGCATCTGCTCATGTTATCAATGTTCGAATGATTCCGACGGAGGTAATTGCCTGACTTGAAGCACGTGGGTCCTGAGGGTGTTATGGCGTGGGTGAGTAAAAATGGCGTTGAAAGCGCAGTCTCACAGTGTTGGTGTAATGGGCTGACAGAGATCACCGCCTGCAAAAGCTGTACACTATACGTTCTCTTAACCTCAAGTGACTGCGACCTCGAGAGGAAGCCTGTGTTCGGGTATCCTTCAGCCTCAGCATGTGTGCCCTTCTTTCGAGACTGCGCACATGCTTGGCTTTGGGCGCCAGCCCTCAGATTTTGCAACTAAGGTGGTAGTAGACGGGACTGCCGACCTCGTGGTGGACAAAAGCACGCTGGACTGCCCCTTGAGCACAGAACTAGTTCATCTAACCGGGCAGGGACTTGGCGAAAACAGAACCCCAGGCCACTCCATAAGGCCTCCCTGGAGGGCCGGGCTGCAGGATTCATACAAGGTTCATGGTGGGGCAGTGGAGAATGCGTGAAAGACTCAGTTGGGCTTGGAGTTTGGTGTGCTATGCAGATGATAATGCAGATTGCAGTGCTGGCAGGAGTCCGACATTCGCCGTGTTTGTAGTACGTCCTAGGATTCAGACCACTCACGCTTCTTGGCAGTCCCAACCTCTTGCCCCGAACACAGCGTTTGTCCATGCACTCTAGGTCTGCTTTGCAGCGATGCTGCCGCTGGGCTGATCTGTCACTGGGCCGAGCATTTCACCTCAAGATTGATCAAACTCGCAGGCTTGCAGCTATTTCCACATGGCCACATTTTTTTTCATGTTTGGTTTGTTGCTGCTATGTGATTGAGGGCGGCAGATTAACACTACTTCAGAGACTACGATGACCCAATCGCGGTCTTCAAGCACACAGTCATGCAGAGTCTCCTTATCGGGATCCTCGGATCGCGCAGTGATGGGGTGAGCCCGTCCCACACGTCATCCGTCTACCCGCACGCGCACACACAGGCACTTACAGCTGGCGAGTCTAACCACTGTGGCTGTGGCGGAAGACTAAACATCAAAGCTCAAGACGGTTTGAGTTGTTTGTGCATCCTGACGGTAAGGTTGCGTCTACCGTATGCTGCGCACAGGAGGCTTTTATGTCGTCATCTCCTTCCATGACACGGAGCCGTGACTCGAATCAGAGCTAGTATATAAAACCCCCGCAGCAAGAGCAAGCAGGTAAAGCAAGTATCCCAGACATGGGCAGACATCACTATGCTGGGGACTTGCGAACATGAAGTTTTTCGGGCTTCCTAGTTTGGCAGGCCGAGCACTGATTGTATAGGAGTTTCCGTCAGTTAGAACGTGTAGCGGTGCGGCAGAAGGCTTCAGGCTCTCGACCCAGCTGCGGAACATTAGCGGGATGGTCGTTTCATCAGCCTTTGGACAAGTCTTGATCAGCATAGGAGCATGCGCGGGGGGGGAGGGGGGTCTCCGGGAATCAAGAGAATCTTGCTTTGTAGATGACATGCCGAACTCTCCAATCCAGAGACTCGGCTGGATACTTTCAGCCTGCTGTCAAGTGCACCCTTCTTCACCTCCTGCTCGCTATCGTTATTGTTGGTACAGATTTTGGGTGATTCAGAATGCTTTGAACGGCGGATTTGGCCCTCTGCAGCTGTAAGGACTTCTTGGTGTCCCTGCTGTCCATGGCCTTTGACTTGGTAGGCCTCGTCGATCTCCAGCGACGAGTGGGACACTGGGACCGCAGCTTCGAGAGTCTCGGTTTCCACCTTGGAGTACTTTGGGTTCCCGCATGTTCCTGCAGGACCCCCGGTTCGTGCAGTAACGCTGCGCAAGAAAGTGATACAGGGCGCAGAGGAGGCCCAAACGCACGCTTGTAGCTGAGAATTCTGCTTAAGCGCGACAAGGAAGAATCAGGAGCAGCGAGTGGGAGAGAGAGAGAGAGAGAGACAGAGAGACGGATGCTGCCCCCAAAAGTACTGTGCTCAGTAAAGCAACTTTTATTTGGGCCCGACACTGTAGCAACCTTCTCACACCCTCTGAAAACCGCATGAATATTGGGGGGCCAACTGGCCGGGGGGTTTTGCAGACCCTTCATGCCCTGGGGAAGAAGAGACGCTCCCCCTAGTCACCCTAGTCCCTAACCCTGGCGAAAGAGAGAGCGTCTGCAGTATTGCTCATATAACTCATATAGTTGTTACAAATATTTGGTACGCGGGACAAACCTGGTCCGTGCTGTGGGTCACAGTCCTCCCGAAAGCCCCATAAACGATGGGGGGCCCTGGTGATCTGGAGACGTCGGACGCCCCCTATGCCCAATGGAGGAAGAGCGTCTACAGCTTCTGCTTCCCCTGAAAAATACAAAGCCCAAAACGGGCGTTGGGAGAGAGAGAGAGAGAGAGAGAGAGTAACTTCAGATGTAATGACATGAAATTACCGAGCACCCCGTTGGGCACACCCCAGCAAATGGTCGGGGACGAGCAGCGCTGCCCTTCAGTTGGGGCTCCGACACCCCCGAGCAGGTCTTGGCGGGTGCGACTCAGGGTTCCCAGCAGTTACGAGGGCTCTTCAGTGCGGCCTGCTTCTCTGTTTCACGCAGACTGGATTCAAACTTCATGTGAACCCGGCGTACCGCATGCGTGCAGGCGGGAGGGTTGTGCGCCCTGAACCCCGAACACGCTTCGCAAAGCAAGCAGGCAAGCAAGCAAGCTAGC